GGGGGGGACCCCTCGCAGCGGCCGCCGGAGGAGCCCCAGGCCGGGGGAGCTGCCCCGGCTCCGGCCGCCTGCTGTCCTCGTACAGAGGTGAAGGTGCCCCGAAGGATTTGCAGGCACGCTTTCTTCCTTTTTTTAGTATAATGGAGATTCAGTACATAAATAAGTTTTTTCTCTTAATGATTGTTGTCTTAATCCTTTGGGGGGGAAACCCCTGAAATTGTTTCACGCACACAAATTGAAGTCAGATATCTGAAGTCTGTTACCCCTTACAGATCATTTCTGTTTCTGAGTGGATGAAATGCGATGCCAGTGTTCCTCCAGCTTCCTTTACCTGAATGTGCCTGTTTATTTTTTTCCACAGCTGTTGACAGGCAAATATCGCGATACCCAGACTTCGATAACCGACAGCTCCGCAGTTTACAGAGTCAGCAATGACAAGGTGAGCGGGCAGGTTTTTGGCTGTAACTTGTGCATGGTTGCTACAGCCGGCACCTTTGTTTTTCTGCTCCATATGCTAAACCTGGCTTGATGCTTTTTGTGCTGCTCAGTCTTCCCCCCTTCAAATCAGTCACTAGTTTGGTCCGAGTGTGGGACAGGATTTTTTTAGACAACGCACACTGAGAGAGTAGGAAAATACTGGAGTGTATTGGGGTCTCCTCGTATGCGCAGCTTCTTTTTTCTTTGCTTGCCAAATCGTGAAACCTTTCTGACTGAAAACCATGTCTGTGTGTTGCGTTTTGAGAGGTGGGTAGGGTGTGGTGTTTTTTCCTGCAGAAGAGGACAAGGAGCTGCTTTTACAAGTAGAGCAGAACACAGCACTCTGGGGATGGCAGTGTGGTTCGGAGCAGGAGGGAGATTTGTGAGGGAACGTTGTTCTGTCATGTTTGATTTATTTGCTGGGCAGTAATTTCTGTGTCTCCCAAGAAAATCTGAATTTAAAAGCTTTAGCAGGATTGAAAAGAGTCTCCAGGTGAACCTTGTGTAGTCTCAGAAGGGGTTTGGGTTACTTGCAGGTGCTGGACTGCCACAGACCTCCTTATTTTCAGTTTATGGTGATCTCTTCCATTTCAGAAGAGTTTCTGTCTCTTGCTGGGTGCAGCAGCGAAAGCAGCAAGATGGCAGTGCGTTCTGTGTGGGTGAATTGTAAAAGCAGAGGATGTTTTTGTGGCTTCTCTATGGCAATCTTCAGTAACAGTGCTGATAATAAGAGGTTAAAAACTTAGTAAAGGGAGGTGCAGGGATTTTTTTTTTTTATATTTGCATCTCTAAGATTGAGCAGCCAGGAGGTATTTGGAGGGGGAGAGGTGCTGGAATGCTCCAATGCAGACCGTTGCTTTTCTTTTTTTTTAAACTGTAGACAAGGTTTCTATTAAAATCCAAGAGCAGTGAGTAGACGGGGTCTTGTGTCGTTTGAGCATTATCTTGAGAACGGTGGCATGGCCCTATGTGGCCGCATCTCGATCAGGAGCATGTGAGAGGCTTTCGTTCTCTTTAATGTCATTGCTTTTTCTGGCTGGCAACCTGTGGAAAGGGAAATGTTTGTAACTTTCAATTAAAAAAGTCTCTTGCAAGGGCGTTTTTTGTGTTATTCCTGGCAAAGTAACGTGTATTTAGGTAGACTTGCAGTTGCGCAGATTCTTGGGCGTGAATAGATATCCTGATTCAGAGACAGTGGGATTAGTGTGTCAGGGCAGGACAGGAGTCTGTGGTTTTGCTGTGCAGAGATCTGCTTGCTGTCAGGGACAGTATAAATCTGCTGGTGTCCCAAGAGAGGTGACTGATGAAGCTTTGTCGCCCTCGCTGTGTGTGTGGCAGTTGTAGGGGGTGGTACTGTAGATGAGAAGCAGGTTGAACGTTCTCTTTTCTCTGCAGTCATGCTCTATCTTCTCAGCTCTGGTTGGTGGTTTGCTGGTGTTGGCACCCTCCTTATTGAGTCCTGGCCGTGAATGTCGTTACTCAGCATTTCTTTTGCCTCTCAGAATTGTTTGGGCTGGTGGAGAGACTGCACCTTGGGGAGAGTTATGTGCTTCTGCCCGGTATGGGGATTCGCTCGCCCACTGCTGCCCCAACACCAGGCTGACTGGAATCCGCTGTCAGGCTGGTTTTCCCCGCTCCGTGATCACAGGTACCCCTAGGTGAGGTCTTGCTGATGCCTTCTCGCTTCTGTTCCCAGAGCGCTAACGTGACCTTAATCGACCTTCCAGGCCATGAGAGTTTGCGGCTTCAGTTCTTGGAGAGGTTCAAGGCGGCAGCCAGGTAACTTGGAGGAGATTGGCAGGGTAGGAGGGGGCAGGTGAAGTTTTGGACAGCAATGAACCAAGCGATGGTGCTGATGTTGCTGTGAGCTGGGCTGGGTGGTGGTGCCCTGAAGGTCAGAGCTCTGCCGTGGGGCAGTGGGGGTTAGTTATTCTTCTGCTTTCCCGCTTACCTGTGTTTGTAGTGCATCAGGAGGCAAAGCAGCTGCAGTGGGGAGGGTTTAGGGGATGTGGTGTATCCATGGGGCAGAGTGGGAAGGATTTCCTGCTGCGGCTGAACATAAGGTGTATTTCAGCCAGCTCTTGGGTTGGATGAGATCAGTTGTGGAAACAAATGTGTTAGACCAGGCTGGAATACTTGCAGGGGAAGGATGGTTGCAGAGCTTCAGGTCCAGCATGTGTTCTTCCTTCTTTCCTCCAGAGCCATTGTGTTTGTGGTGGACAGCGTGGCCTTCCAGCGGGAGGTGAAGGATGTGGCGGAGTTCCTGTACCAGGTCCTGGTCGATAGCACTGTCCTCAAAAATGCACCCGCGCTGCTGATCGCTTGCAATAAGCAAGGTACTGGGTGCTGCCTTGCGGGCTGGACGTTGGGTTCGGTCCTTGAGTGATAAGGGAAAATGCCATGGATGCTGAAGTTCTTAGGGGTTGGGATTTTGACAAAATCAAGGCTGGAACTTAGTTTTAAGCTTGGACGAAAAGATCTTGGGTCAGGTATGTCTAATAGCTTTGTAGGGAAGCTCCACTTGGGAGAGCTACAGCTTTTCAGATGGGCTTCAGTAAGGCAGGTGACTTTCTGCTTGTGCAGAGCTGTCTTTCTGAATCTGCAGGCAGCAGAAAATAGGATCAACTTGATCATAATGAACTATCAGGCAGCTTCAGTGTTAAAAACAGACAGCCATTTAGCTGCCAATATTGTATGTTTTTTCTTGATTTGGACTAGCAGGAACATCCAGTTATTGGAAAGGACTAGATTTTCGGATCCCTACAGCGTTTACAGGAAAGGTGTGGATCTGTGTATAACAACCTGAAGCTTTTGGGCAGTATCTGTTTTGGTTTTCTTAGTTATTTCTTGCACTGCTTCAGGAGCTGCCTGACGCCTTCGTGGCTACATGGTTAAAAAGCACTGTGGTGAGCTCTGTAATGCTGGGAGAGGCGAGATTGCTGGGCCTTGTGGGTGGGACATCAGACCCCATCCTCTTTTTGAAAGAACTTACTGCCTGCAAGAAGAAATTAATTCCCTACATTGTATCAGATGTCTGGATTGGTCCCATTCGTGCCTGCAAACCCAAAGCTCCAGCATCCCTTATCCCAGTGCAGATGCAGCTGTCTTTGTCCCAATAACTCTTATGACTGCCCTGTATGAGCAGGCCTTACTCTATGTTTAGGAGGAGGAACCAGGTTCTGAATTCTGACATAAAATCAAAGAGCTGATTTCCTTTCCTTTTCTCTCTCTAGATGTCACGATGGCAAAATCAGCAAAACTTATTCAACAGCAGCTAGAGAAGGAGCTGTAAGTATGAAATTGGATCTTAAACCCTCTGAGCTTCTCTATTCTCCTTTCTGTCTGTTACTGCAGCGCCCAGTGAGTGTCCTTGAGCCACATCTAAGTTTGTTATAGAAGAGAGCGGTCTGTTTTGTCTGTGTAGGCATAAGCAGGATGAGAGAAGATAAAGCACACCAAAAAGCAGTGGGCACAGACAGTGCATTGCCTCCTAGAAGCTAGAAACAACATCTCAATCCTTTCCTAAAAGCCGCCATCCGTAGGCTAAGCGATACCTCCTGTGGCCCAGGGAGGTATCTGGCACAGGGAGGGTTGGCTTCCAAATGTCAGACTTTCTGCGAGTGGTGTGAAGATCTTAGTAGCTCTGCTAAGTTGCACTGGCACGGGTTTTTTTGCAGGCCTGCTCTGACACAAAAGGGCCTGGCGTGCAAAGCCGGAGAGCTGGGGGGGGAGCGTCTAGTTTTCCTGGTCTGCTAACAGGCATTGCAGGAGCTGGTTTGGGACCCCGTGCTGGCTCTGTCTCTGCCCTAGGAAGGACGTGAATCTGGGAAGTCAAATGATGTACGATCTGTTGCTAATTTTAAGTTGTAAGAGGAAGTGGAAGGAGGAGAAAGGGGCTTGTAGACTGTGCTACATTGTAAGCTGCCAACTGAATGAGTTGCAGCATCAACGGCTGGCAAGTCCATCTGGGGAGGGGGCCAGTAGAAGATTTTTTTTTTTTTTTAAAGCTATATTTAATCTCTGTGCATGAAGATTCTGCCTGTGAGTCCCATAGTTATAGATGGGTCAAATCTGCTCTGGGAGAGACCTGTGCAGCTCTTGCGCCATGGTGGACTTCTCCACCAGGATCTAGTAGAGACTTCGCTTCCCCACGTGCACTCAGTTGATGTTTTGCCTTCCTGTTGCCTGTGGGTCCTGTTTGCTGGATTGCACTTAGTGGCAAGGCGGTCTTGAGAGTAGGCGGAGGAGTGTAGCTCTTTGGTCTCCAAACAAATGCATGTTCATGGGCTATGGCCATCTTGTTGCCAAGTGGTGGATTTGGCAGCATTAGGCTTACGGAGGACAGGCTGAGGGAGTTGGGCTTGTTCAGCCTGGAGAAAAGAAGGCTGCGGGGAGACCTGATTGCGGCCTTTCAGTACCTAAAGGGGGCCTATAGGAAAGATGGGGAAAATCTTTTTAGTAGGGCCAGCTGTGACAGGACAAGGGGTAATGGTTTTAAACTAAACCAGGGTGGGTTTAGACTAGATATAAGGAAGAAATTCTTTACACTGAGGGTGGTGAAACACTGGGAACAGGTTTGCCCAGAGAGGTGGTGGAGGCCCCATCCCTGGAAACATTCCAGGCCAGGTTGGATGGGGCTCTGAGCAACCTGATCTAGTTAGCAGTGTCCCTGCTCACTGCAGGGGGGTTGGACTAGATGACCTCTAGGGGTCCCTTCCAACCCAAAACATTCTATGATTCTATGATGATCTAACAGGTCTTTTCCACCCTTAAATGATTCTGTGATTCTATAATCTCTTTGGCCAGCAGATGGCAGCAGGGTTATTACTGCTGGTGCCTCTTCCAGGCTGAATACCTGACCTTCCTGTTTTTAAGGGAGGAATTAGTTGCCACATATTCAAGCTCTCCAGGAAAACTAGCGTTCCTTGGTTCTGATGTTGGGCATTTGGCAGTTATCTGTGTGTAGAAGTTGGTTTTCTAGGTAGGTAATACGTGCCCTGTTAGGCAGTGTTATTCCTGACAGCTGGCAGGTTGCTGCCATCCTCTCCCTGTGCTGCCATACATGGATGTCCTTGTGTGGAGAACCCAAGGAAGCGTCTGCTCTCTTATTCCTGAACTCATGTCTCTGGGCAGCGTTGTTCTTCCCCCATGCCCCATTAATTTAGCTCCTTTCTGTGAATGAGGAGTAGCTGGGATTGATTGAGAGCAGGCACGGCCAGGCTGCTCTGTCTCTGGAAGAGAAGCAGCAGTCCAGCCGTGAGGCCCTGCTATGCAAAAAGCTGGGGGGGGATTGCTGTTTGCCTCTGTGCCTGGTGCAGCCCCTTGACTTCCCTAGCTTTGCTTTTTGGGACCTTAGAGGCAGTCAAATCGCAGTGCCTCTGCGCCTGTTGGGCTGTTCTATCTCCCTGTGCTGCCTCTGCCCTGGATGCCGTGGTGAGTGTGGACAACGAGGTCCATCCTTCCTCTCCACAGGTGGCAGGGAGTTGGGGTGCTGCAGCGAGCTGAAGGGCAGGAGCAGTAGTGACGTTGCAGCCTGCTCCTTGGGCAGGCATTGCTCATGGGAACAGCGGGGAGACTCAATCCCCCCTCTTGGGTATTTGGCACGCTCAGGTGGCAGAGGGATGAGCTTCTGTCTGTCTTCCTCTCCTGAGCTTCTCTGCAGTTGTGCCTCCCAGCAGGTATTTAAGAGAAGTGGCCAAAGTGCTCACCTCTGCCTGTGCAGAGCCATGGCACCTTTTGTCCTTGGTGTAGCCAGCATCCTGCTGGCAGAGCTGAGTCCAAAACATCTCAACAGCCATGGTGCAGGTAACGTTCCCCTGGTTCACAGTTCCTGACTCTTCCCCTCCTCTATCTGCAGCAACACCTTACGAGTGACCCGCTCTGCAGCCCCCACCAGTCTGGATGGCTCAGCCACTGGGGGCCCTGCCCAGCTGGGGAAGAAGGGCAAGGACTTCGACTTCTCCCAGCTACCCATGAAGGTGGAATTCGTGGAGTGCAGTGCTCGGGGCAGCAAGGGAGAGGAGGGAGATGCTGACTTCGAAGGCCTTGAGAAATGGCTGGCCAAGATCGCCTGAACAGAAAAGAGCAGGGCTGGAGGGAGAGGCTGGAGGAGGTGGGATGCTTGGGGACTGGAAGGAAAAAGATGGTCTGAAGCGCTCAAATCTGATCTCGCTGTAGAAGAAACTTCAGCTGGAAACCAGCGTGGTATCTTCCCCTGCTGCTCGTGGGCTTGGGAGCAACATGACACAATTGCTGGTGTGATTTCCTCTGACTCTCCCCTCACACCGCAGCATTTTTATTCCTCTCCCCTCTTCCTTTCTCTTCCTCTGGGATGCTGACCCTTTGGATTTATGTGTTTCCTTAATCTGTAGGCTCTTCATTTGCAAATTAGGAAGGAGTGAACTGCCAGGTGACTTTCAGAGGTTGGAATCTGCATGTTGTCTTCTCCCTTGGCTTAGCATTGCAACCCTGTTGCCTCTCGGAGCTACTGATCTGACTGATTCTGACTTCTTTCCCCAGCCTCATGCTGCTTCGGAGCACTGTGCACATCATCTATGCTGCCCTGGCAAAGTGCGCAGGCTCTCTCCATTGGGCAGTTGTTGAAGAGAGTATAAAAAGCTGTTTACCTCTGTGTTTCCTACCTTGCTGATCTTCCAAGGCCTTGCAGTCCCATTTCTATGGGACTGGAACGGTCTGTTAAACACCCAAACCAGGCTGGCTGATGTGCCTTTGTCACTGTACACCACCTGTGTCCTTGGGTGATTTCCACTGTTGGACAGTTCTTGGGAGCTTTTCTTTTAATGCTTTAATGTCCTGAAAGCTTCTTTCACTCTGCTTCTCCTTCCCATGCTTCAGGCTCTTCTCCCACAGACATGTAGCCACGCTCTCCAAGTGGCAGAGTTGTAGTAGGGTCTTAGCTTGAAACTATGAGGCAGGCACGTTTTTAGATTCATACCTACGTTACGCATGAGATCGGGTGTGAGAAGCGTTTGCTGCGCGGTCGCCTGCCTGCCTCTTGTGTCAGCTCCTGTCACCTTGTGTCACCTGCCTCAGCTGCTCCTCTTGCAGGGACGGCTGAGGGGACACCGCCAGTCGCTGCAGCTATCGCAGTGGCTCGGCAGGCTGCTGGAGGCTCCAAAGGCTCCGATTCATGCTTTTCCAAAGGATGTTGCTCTCCTTGCCGTGCTCTGGCCAGGAGCATTGGTTATCCAAAGGGAGACCTTCCAGTAGCATTGGTGTCAGTCAGGTGGGAGACAAGACCCTGGTGCTGTGCTGGGAGCGCAAATTCCCCTTCCCAAACAGCCTTAAGACACCCTTGCCCTGCCCAGCGACTCAGTGTAGCTCGGCGCTCTGACCAGGTGCCGTTCCTGGGCAGCGCCTGTGTGAAGATGATTGCTCTTCAGGATACTGCACGGCAAATTGCAAGGTCCTGCAGCATTGAAAGTTTTCTTTTTGGTTCTGTTGTTTTCCCATTCGTTTTGGAGTAGGAGGGAGTGGCTGGCTCCTGGCATACCTCTTCTGTCCTTTGCAGGCTCCTTTCCTCTCTGGGTTGATGCTGCTTTCATCACTCAACTGATCTGTTGTCTTTTCCTTTCTGTCTGGGGCATCCTCGGCCTCCCTGTAGCATTGTAGAGTGTCAGTAGCATCGTGAAGAGCCAGACCAGTCTTCTGCAAAGACCTGGCTCGTGAGGGAGCTGGGCCTTGCGTTTCCAGTCTCGTGAGCCCAGTGACTCTTCTACAGTCCATGCAAGAGGTGGGGAGGGTTATATTTAGGAAGTATGTTATTTTTCCTGCAGCCAGAGCATTGTTGGAATCTGTTTGCCTTGCTTTGAATTCCCTGAGCTGGAGCTTCTTCCCAGGCCGCCCACTTTGAATCCGTCATGCTGGAGTGAGAATATTGCTGTTGCTTTGGGTGGTTTTTCTGCTTGCAAAGCCCTGTCTCCTTGAAAAGCAAAGGCCAGACACCACCCTCTGCTGGGTTAAGGTAGCATGAGGCCATAGTGGGTTTTAAGTTATTCTTATTAAAAATTTTTTTTTTTTTTTGCTTAAATGTTTGTTCTCAAGTCTTGTTTTAACCTTCATTGGCCTCTTCTCAGTGGTGTCGAATCCCCATGGACTGGGACTTTGCTTCTGCTCAACACGATGCTGGAGATCAACCTTCCTGCTTGGTGCCAGGTCTGTGTTGTCAAAAACCAGCGCCTCCCCCACACACAGGGCTTTTGGAGTTGTTTTTTTTTTTTT